TATTGGCAAAAACAGCAAGATGTGTGGATCTAGTCATTATTGTTCTTCGAACAGCTGCAGTAAAAATTGGTTGAATTTGTCGTCTTCTGGTATAACGAAAGTGACATCGCTGACTCAAGAAAAATAAGCGAGCTTGATATTCCAGCCCTTTTATTAAAATATTGTTCGAGGGGTAAGTGAACTATGTACAATCTTAATAAGGTATTTCTAATGTCGATATGCCGTTTTCTGAACATGGCCAGCTATCAATATCTAAAGGCTTATGAATAAAAAGTTCTAACATTTTTACTGACCAATACACGTAATAAAAATTCTCATATGAGTCGTGTGACTAAACTAGGATAAAGGAACGCTCTGTTCGAAAGACATTCAACGTTTATTTTAAATGATATGCTGACGTAAATTAAAAATTATAATCATAGTCCAGGCTTTATCAACCTGGAAACAAACAACGAGGTAAAGAAGTATGATGATAATTTATGATATATCACGTTCCTGACATTAATTTTCTTTCAGCAATTGTATATTTCTAAAATAAAAATGAATCATTGCGGGAAGGCACCTGCTCAGTTAATTTTAATAACGAAAGTGATAAGATAACAGAATCGTTTCTTAGGTCTTTTACAGCTAGCACAAAGCTAAAAAGTAAAAACTAAAGCACTGCAAGAAGTTAGTGATCTCTGTGATGAAGCACCACTTAATAAGATACCATCTATGAGGTTGTTTTTATCGTATTAAGTAAGTATTTGTCATGGATTTAAGTGATTGACATTTCATCAACCTAATGAGCAACTAGCGCAGAGGCAAGTGATATTCATAAGCTTCATCTCATGAAGCCCAAGGCGTGTCAGGACATGCCCTCCCATGGCGTACCTACACATATGAGTACCGGTGGCAAATCACCCTCGCGGGGTGCATATTATATATAATTTGTTTCCACTACGTGGAATCTTATTAAATGCCTCTAATGCCTTGCCTACATATACGAGTACCGGTGGCAAATCACCCTCGCGGGGTGAATATTATGTACAATTAGTTTCCACTACGTGGAACCTTATGAAATGCCTCTAATGCCTTGCCTACATATACGAGTACCGGTAGCAAATCACCCTCGCGGGGTGCATATTATATACAATTTGTTTCCACTACGTGAAACCTTATGAAATACCTCTAATGCCTTGCTTACATATACGAGTACCGGTAGCAAACCACCTTCGCGGCGTGCATATTACCAAAACTCTGATGACCGCCCCTCGCGGGGGCATATTATGTATAATTTGCTTCCTCCGTATGGAACTCATTATGAATAAGGACTTGCCTTCCATGGCTTGCCTACATATACAAGTATCAGTAACAAAACATCGTTGATAGAGAAATATCCTCATCAATTTTATAATCGCCCTTGTGGGGTCATATCACACATAATATATTATTTCCATTACGTGAATATCAATATGTGTTCTCCTTAGAACATGTTCGCTTATGGAGTTCGTACTATTATGTAAGCACCGGTAACATACGACACTCGAGTGGAGCAAATTATGCATAATTTAATATGTAGTCTATTCGTGATTCATAATTTATTTTTGTGACCATGGGGTCTGTAAAAGTGTAAACGATTCGAAACATTAAAAATAAGTAAATTGAAAATATAATAAATGTCGCTTGACATAATTCATTACTTCCATCGCGTGGAAATCCATACATCAACGCAACGCAACATACCCGCTCATGGCTTGCGTACACACATAAGTATCGGCTATAAACTACCCTCTTAATAGACTATAAAGATCGAACATCGAATGTTGACGTACCCCGTTGGGAAGTGCAATGTACGTGGTTTTTAAGGTGTCGCATACTCCGAGGTCTTGGGTTCACCCCGGTGGGGCAAATCATTGTATGATAAAAACGAGCATCTGTGCCTAAGTTTTGGTTGTTAACAAATATGAATTCAAAATCTAATCTAATAAATTCTAATCTATGCATCATCATTATGCATTTCTAGGCGTTAGCCCATAACACAAGCCTTTCAATGCCCATTATAAGGCTAGGCTAATTGGTGTGAAGTGTTGACTCGATCCCTACGGTTGTTCTACCGTAATATATAATACATTTCAAAAGAAAAAGGAATATCGACACAATTAATGTTTGAAAAAATTTAGTGCAGGTAAGTTGATAAATTGGGAGCTCCATAAATAATTCTTAAATAAATTTAATGGTATCGCATGCCATTCAAAAGCTTGTTTATCTAAATCCAATATATATCAAACTCCAATCTCAAGTGCAGTACACTATAAATATGTAAAGAATTCTAAGTTTTCTGCAATTTAAGGACTATCTGCCAGATAAATAGAATATAACATATTTTCTCTTGAAAATAACAAAAGTAAACCAAATGGGTTGCTCACTCTTTTGATCGCGTAATGAGAGAAACTTGCAATATTAGAAATGTCGTGTATGTGGTGTCTGAGGTGGCCAACATGATCATTTTGATATATAAGTGGTGCTAGTTACTGAAGAAAGATTGCACGATCTACCAAATTCTTGAAAGGTTTTGAAGATCATTGTATGCAATTATCCCCTTTATGTTATTTTAGTAAAAATTACTGAAAACTGTTCTTAATATTAAACTTACGCTTTTTAACCTTCCCACGACTGTCTGGAATAAATATACTTCAAACCCTACGCATAGTACATGCACACCTCATGTAAATCTTATAAATAGCTAAATCTTTATTTAGTATTAAGTAATACATATAAATGACTCAGATCTAAGAACTGAAAAACAAAAGAAAAATTACAATCAATTATAGATTCCAGGATGGCAAATGAATTTCATAAAATCTGGTCTGAACTTCGTAATAGCATAATTTATCACGGCAACCCAGCAACAATATAAAAACTATACCAGAGAATTTCGTTGTAAAAACGTAAACTTCAGAAGTTGATCGGTTTCAACATTTTTGTCATTCCGTGGGGTTGTATCAACCACTCCCTACTTCTAACAATAATTATGAATTCACTGCAATCGACCTTGCAATCACTTCCCGCCAATCTAATATGAAAGCTTGGGAAGTATAGTTGAAGAACACGGCACGATATGCTAGCACTACGCTTTTCAACATATTCTACAAAGAGCGACAGCTCTGTCTTAAACAGCTATGAGATGGCTCGGAAACGCTGGCTTGCGTGGTTGCATTGGTCTAGGAACAAGAATGTTTATCGGAATAATCCCGCAAGTTGTGGACTCTGCTCTGAACTAACACGATTTTCGAGAGACTTATTTTTAGCTCGTGACTTATCTTAAAATAAGTACCATTATTTTAAATAAGTCAGTAGTTTTTACATGATATACCAATGGATGATAAGTCTAATTACCTAAGCTCACCTGTCTTGGCAAACACATATATTGAAGTCGATTGTTTTTAAAGAATCAGTCCGTAACCTACTATTCTGTGTCCATAAGTTAACTTATTTCCTTTTCTTCAATAATGTACTCGTTACATCATAATGATCTGTTTCAAATACTTCGTCATATATGTTGTTCTGAACGTCATACAGTAATTATGCTGCGTATTATTTGGTTCAGCATGTGGTACACATGACTTGTTCCTACTTCAAATTATCCCGAATCATTGTATTTGTACCGACGAAGATTAGTTTAGCCTTGTTTTGGTTCAAAACAGGTGAAAGTAGTTAAAGACAATCCGATTGGTGACTTGTACCGAATAATGGTAATCGTAAGTGGGACCCTGATTTTTGGTACTTAAGTAAAAAGTACAGTCTTGTAAAATGTAAGACTCAGTATCGAACAACTTTACATCTTTTTCTCGCGTTCGTACGCCTTATTTGTGATATACAAAGATACAAATGAATGCTACACAAGGAAGCGTCCGGTCATTAACAAAGCAAATATATGTAGAAGTATATATATATACTTCGCGAGTTTTAAGCAAAGAAATATAGCGATCAGCTAATACATATGTTAAAGCAGCTTCGTAAGCTTGAAGAAATTAAAGGCGTGATTCAAATAATATTATTTGATTCATTTTTAAGCTTACTCGTTTCTTTATACAGTTTCATATAATCTGATAAATGTTAATATTTAAATTTATCATAAATTGTCACATTGGCGTATATATCTATGTACGTGGCGATCACCAGGCGATAACAAACAGGTCTCAATATAAAGCTTTCAGTGACGGTCAAGTAGTTTAATAGCAGCATTTTACCTGAAATAAAATGCATATTAAAATACTTACCTCACTGAAAGCTTTCACTTTAAATTCTGCCTGGTGAAATAATTGAGCCAATGAGTTAATATGGCGCTGTCAAAACTTAGGAAAACAAAAATGGCCGCGCTTCTGCCAGGTGTCGCCACTGGACCGGATATAAGGTGAATAAAAGTACGGAAACTGATGGTAATTCGACGGGAAACGGAAGTGCTATCTCAATATAAAGCTTTCAGTGAGGTAAGTATTTTAATATGCATTTTATTTCAGGTAAAATGCTGCTATTAATTTCAATAAATGAGAGAACCATGCGAAAATGCAAAACATATCACGTTCTTTTATATACTTACGTTTAGTATGAAACTCCTCCATTCTTATTTATCATAAATAAACACATAACTCGTATTTTAATAAAATTACTGAAACGACACGGACACGTTTTGTTTCACTCGTTCCTATTAGCCAACTAAATAAAATTACGACAATTGTCTGAATTTGTCTGTAATAATTATTGTGCGTGCTAGTACCTCTACTATATTTATTTAAGTTATCATTAGTCATCACATGATTTTTGAACCCTAAAAGTACGTTTCGTTACACGTAATGCTGCTAAATGTTAACCTTTCCAAGTAAAAAAGATTTTTTTACTGTTTGGTTTTTATGATAAAAATATATTAATAATATAGTATTCATGTATCCTTGCTATAATACTTTCTTCCACTTTTGTCATATGATGTGAACAGGAACGTTTGATACAATGGCGTTTGTATTTTGTTTGAACGGGAAGGACGTCGTCTTGACAACAACGAATTTTGTGGTTTTGTAAATGAATTGTTGGAATAATTTTACTATGAATTTCATAAATTATGGATGATCCTCAAAACGATTTATCTCAAACGAACGAAGTTAAGGTACGTGTACTATCCATAACAAGTCTTTCGATATTAGGTGATCAAACTAACTGAAAGATATTTATAATCGTCGCAACGTTAAAAATAGTTCAGAAATGCACACCTGCACATCTTAAAGTGGCCCAATTACACCCTTTATTGTTGATATTAAAATAGTTTAAGTAATGTAATTCATAAAAACGCAACGAAAATTTCAAAAGTAGTACGATGGTTTTCAAACACACATTATTTATTTTTAGAATGTTCTTCCGGATGTCGTACATTCTCAACAGATACCCACAGTGGCAGTTGTAAATACGGAAACAGAATTGGCGGAACACGACGCCGGTGCTGGTGCAGAGAGCAGTTCCATTTACAATGCTGAAACCACTAGTGAAACTGAGTCTATATCGGAGCACTTGCCATTCAAGGTGGAAGAATCTCTCTCGGAGACGGACAATATTGACGATCCGAACAAATCAGAACCTTTGCTCAAAGCTGAAACAGAACAAGAAAAAGTGACAGTACAAAACTCTTCAAACATTCCAGTGATCCAGACACCAAACAGTGACAGTCCTAGCCTACAAGACCCAAACAAACAGAGCACATCATGGCCATTGGATGGGAATGCTGTCTCTGACATTCATCATCTCAGTGAAGAAAGCCCAGTAAACTTAGCTATATCTTCAGATTACTCTCGAGAAGTATGCTCTAATGAAAATGTGTCTCTTCCCTTACCCGACACTCCTAAATCAGAAGGTAGAGGTTCTTGTGCCTCACCTTTGAGTGATAAATATGTTGACTCTTTAAATGATTCTATACATAAATCATTGGAATCCGACTATGATAAGTCACTGGGGCAGGTGAGTGATTCTAACAAAGAAGATTTTCCTGACGGTGGTAGTTCAGGTTCTGAAGAAATAATTAAGCTCGATATAAGAGGACAAGGTGCTCCTAAGTTTTCACTTCCTACTGCTAAAATAATTTTTGGGCCTCCTCCACAAGGAAGTACCATTTTGGATCCCAATATTGATCCTATTCCAGTGTTCCCTAACTTACTTTCACCCTTCCTTGTTGGTGCTGGTGACACTGTTAAAGTTGAGGAAATATTTGACTTCACCAAAGAACAGTTCAAAGAGCCATCATCTGAAAAATCTCTTGAACTATCTTTGGATAAGTCAATTGAGATTTCATTAGAAAAGAATTTGTCCACTGACAAGACTGAGCAGCAAGATTTGCTGGTGGAAGAAATGATTGTTGAGGAGATCATAGAAAGAGGTGATGAAAAGCATGATGAACCATCTCTGACTAATCAGCCGAAATCATTTGCCCCAGAGGAAACAATGTCTCTTAGTACAATGACTACTGATTATAAGACAATATGTGAAGAGTTTCACGCTAAGGTACTAGCTGTTATACACGGAGTGTGCTTATGTTTATGTGTAACATACCTTGTGCTGGTGCTTGCAATCCTAACACTGCTTTTACTACCATTGGCATGCTATGTTCTAACAATTTATAACATGTACTTCCTCATTTACAAAAGATTAATAGGTTTTTGTTACTAACTTTTAACAAAATTTTATGTATAGAATTAAATAAAAGATTTGATTTTGTTTTTCTGTACATATGCATTTTTTTTGTAGAAAGTAGTGCATTATTGAAACAGATGGTAAAAAATTATTACTTCTTAACCAATCTGTGCATTTTTTTTTTATACTGTGATGAGCTTGATCTTAATTATTTTAAAAATATTAATTTTAGTGATTTCACACTGATACCAAATTTTATTTGATAATGGTTATTTAAAAATAAAATTCGGTTAATTTTGTTCATGTTCGCATTCAATTTACGTATTTGTAAATCTTTCAATCTTAATTTGAATATCAAAAAGGTTTTAATTTTTATATCCAGACACAAGAGAAATTACAGCTATTTAATGTCCTCCTGTAACTTTGGATAATTAAGTTATATGCTTTGATTGTTTCATTACGCAAAACTGCCTTGTGTATGTTCTTCATGTATTGAATGCTTTCTGTCCTTTCAGCTTGTGCACTTCGAAGATGCTATTATGCAACGTAATGAACAAATTCAAGAACTGACACTCTCATTGCAGCGAACAGCTCGTGAACGTGACAACCTTAAAGCTGAAAATGAACACCTCTCCAGTGAGGTCCTTCAGTTACAACATACGGTTGGTGAAAGATCATCTTCTGAACATGACACTGTCAAAGCTCAATTATCTGACTTCGTAAAGTACCAAAGCATGGTCAAAGATGACAGTACAAAGTTCTACTCAGCTTTAATGAGTGGAGGATCGTCTTTACAAAGTTCGAATGGTGAAAAAGATATGGACCATGAAGAAATAACTGTCAACTATTCAAAGTCTGACTTAAAGTCTTCCAGTTCTTCTGATGAATTTCAGACAGGCTTTGAAAATAAATTGTCAATAATTATCAGTAAATTTGAAGATTGTATAGAAGAAAACTTGAGAAATAAATTGCGTGAGAGCATAATTCAAGTGCTATGTGATGAAATAAGCAAAATGCGGATAGATTCGGACACAGAAATCAAAGATTTGGAGACACAAATGCGGCAAGAAAAACAAACATATACTATGGAGACCAGAAAACTAAGGGAGCTCTTGGCGTCTGTGAAAGCTGGCACTGCAGACATAGATGCACTTCGGGAAGAATTATGTATCAAACATGAGAAGGAAATGGAAAATTTAAGGACTTACTTTGAGAAAAAATGTACTGATATGGAGAGGAGGTATGTATTTATGAATAAATTTTGTTTGCTGTTATGTATACCTATTTCTTATTGCAGAAATAAATTACTCATTTTTCATTTTATTTTCTTGCTAACGAGGCCCAGTAAAACAAAGAGAAGGTGAGTATTACTCATATAACATATCAGAGATCTTGGAAAAGATTGTTATTAGTGCAATTCAAACAATGTTAATTTAGATTTTTTCTTTCTTTTTGCATCTCCTGTCAATATACTCGTTTTTTTTCAAATTAAACTTTCAATGACGAGTTTGAAAGATTTTCCAATTGTATTTGATATTATAAGCTAATTTAATATCTTTCAAATTAAAAATCAAAACTTTAAATGGCTTGTTTGCGTTAACCACAATGTCGCCGATGTTACCTGAGGTGCAAGCACTAACTTTGACAGCTCCGTAATTGTATTGCATCGTCAAAGTTGCTATAAAAACTAAGCAGCGCCCCCACTGGACGTATGAACAAACTGGTTCCTTCCATTACGGTCTCTGCCAGGGCCGTGCCTGGGTATATGGCCGCCTGCGTGCCAGTCTGTATGGCCGCCCCCAGGATAACATTAAAAAAAACTACTTTAATTTTTAATGTTTATTATTATACACAGGGCATCAAACCGGGAAAAAAATCAGTTTTTGGTTAACCGAAATCGAGAACGAAAAAAAATATTGGTTTTGTTCCCAAAACCGGTTTCTGAAAAGAAAAACCGGCTTAAAACCGGTTTTATAAGATTTATATGTTTGGATGAAATTTAAGAAAAAAAAATGCACAAAATAAACATTTTTTTATTTAAAATTTAAACAAAAATAATAACATGAAAAAAATTATGGTATTGGTTTTATAATCACAGACAAAATTATCAAACATAAAGAACAAGGATTAATGAAAACAAACCGATTGTATTTTTGCCCAGTAAACAACTTGTAACGATTTGGCCGCCTCTTAATTTCGGCCGCCTGCGTGCGGTGCACGCAATGAACGCCCGTCAGGCACGGCCCTGGTCTCTGCCAAAGTTTGTGTTTGGGCCTCCTATGTCTTAATTTGTTGTTATCACAAAGAAAGTGACAGCACCAGCTTATTACAGTATGATATTCTCAGAGAAGAACGGTAGTTAGTTAATTTTAGACAACATGTGTGCAGTTACTCTGAAGAAGTATGGCGCGGTCGCTGCCGCTCGTCGTACGGCTCGGAATGGTCGCTGGAGGACGGCGCCGGCGACCACGCCTCGAGGCACACTCGCCGCGCGCGCAGCGCTGAACTACCCTCCCTCACTGCTGCGCTGGACGTGAGTGTTATAGTTACAGGCCGCGTGTACAGTCGGTCGCTGGAGGACGGCGCCGGCGACCACGCCTCGAGGCACACTCGCCGCGCGCGCAGCGCTGAACTACCCTCCCTCACTGCTGCGCTGGACGTGAGTGTTATAGTTACAGGCCGCGTGTACAGTCGGTCGCTGGAGGACGGCGCCGGCGACCACGCCTCGAGGCACACTCGCCGCGCGCGCAGCGCTGAACTACCCTCCCTCACTGCTGCGCTGGACGTGAGTGTTATAGTTACAGGCCGCGTGTACAGTCGGTCGCTGGAGGACGGCGCCGGCGACCACGCCTCGAGGCACACTCGCCGCGCGCGCAGCGCTGAACTACCCTCCCTCACTGCTGCGCTGGACGTGAGTGTTATAGTTACAGGCCGCGTGTACAGTCGGTCGCTGGAGGACGGCGCCGGCGACCACGCCTCGAGGCACACTCGCCGCGCGCGCAGCGCTGAACTACCCTCCCTCACTGCTGCGCTGGACGTGAGTGTTATAGTTACAGGCCGCGTGTACAGTCGGTCGCTGGAGGACGGCGCCGGCGACCACGCCTCGAGGCACACTCGCCGCGCGCGCAGCGCTGAACTACCCTCCCTCACTGCTGCGCTGGACGTGAGTGTTATAGTTACAGGCCGCGTGTACAGTCGGTCGCTGGAGGACGGCGCCGGCGACCACGCCTCGAGGCACACTCGCCGCGCGCGCAGCGCTGAACTACCCTCCCTCACTGCTGCGCTGGACGTGAGTGTTATAGTTACAGGCCGCGTGTACAGTCGGTCGCTGGAGGACGGCGCCGGCGACCACGCCTCGAGGCACACTCGCCGCGCGCGCAGCGCTGAACTACCCTCCCTCACTGCTGCGCTGGACGTGAGTGTTATAGTTACAGGCCGCGTGTACAGTCGGTCGCTGGAGGACGGCGCCGGCGACCACGCCTCGAGGCACACTCGCCGCGCGCGCAGCGCTGAACTACCCTCCCTCACTGCTGCGCTGGACGTGAGTGTTATAGTTACAGGCCGCGTGTACAGTCGGTCGCTGGAGGACGGCGCCGGCGACCACGCCTCGAGGCACACTCGCCGCGCGCGCAGCGCTGAACTACCCTCCCTCACTGCTGCGCTGGACGTGAGTGTTATAGTTACAGGCCGCGTGTACAGTCGGTCGCTGGAGGACGGCGCCGGCGACCACGCCTCGAGGCACACTCGCCGCGCGCGCAGCGCTGAACTACCCTCCCTCACTGCTGCGCTGGACGTGAGTGTTATAGTTACAGGCCGCGTGTACAGTCGGTCGCTGGAGGACGGCGCCGGCGACCACGCCTCGAGGCACACTCGCCGCGCGCGCAGCGCTGAACTACCCTCCCTCACTGCTGCGCTGGACGTGAGTGTTATAGTTACAGGCCGCGTGTACAGTCGGTCGCTGGAGGACGGCGCCGGCGACCACGCCTCGAGGCACACTCGCCGCGCGCGCAGCGCTGAACTACCCTCCCTCACTGCTGCGCTGGACGTGAGTGTTATAGTTACAGGCCGCGTGTACAGTCGGTCGCTGGAGGACGGCGCCGGCGACCACGCCTCGAGGCACACTCGCCGCGCGCGCAGCGCTGAACTACCCTCCCTCACTGCTGCGCTGGACGTGAGTGTTATAGTTACAGGCCGCGTGTACAGTCGGTCGCTGGAGGACGGCGCCGGCGACCACGCCTCGAGGCACACTCGCCGCGCGCGCAGCGCTGAACTACCCTCCCTCACTGCTGCGCTGGACGTGAGTGTTATAGTTACAGGCCGCGTGTACAGTCGGTCGATGGAGATCGGCAGATTTTCTACAATTAACTTAAACATTAGTTCCAATTTAAAATATTCCTCTTTACGTTTTTCATATATTTAGCAATTCTCAGCCAGATAGTCTTATTTCTTTAAATTCATCAGCCCAAACAATGTATCTGTCTATATATATAAAACTCAAAGGTCTGATCTGATCTGACTGATTGACATAGTGATCTATCAACGCTCAGCCCAAACCACGACGGATCTGAAAATTGGCATGCAGGTAGATGTTATGACGTAGGCATCCGCTAAGAAAGGATTTTGATCAATTCTACCCCCAAGGGGATAAAATAGGGAATGAAAGTTTGTATGAAACTTTGTCAATTTTAAACCGATTGGGCTAAGACTTTGTATGCAGGTATAAGAAGAATCATAGATGAATGTCATTGTATATAATACAAGCCTGAGAACAAAAACTGTAGTCTACACTTCAGCTCTAAGCGAGGGCGGGCCGTTAGTTTACTTATAAGAAAGTTATCGATAAGAGGATAGAAGCTAATAAAATGCGATTCAAACATTATGGTGGCGGTAAAGTTAGTACTCGACTGTTTGCAAGTCTCAGTTTAAATTGAGGAGAACCTCGCGGGCACCTTGATTTCGTCTACTGTGTTTGCGTTTCAGCTGCCATTTAGTTTGAATCCCACTATATCCATGTGTTGACAAATATTATATCGTATGGCACGTCCCCCAGGTGGGCGGGTCGGATCAGGGTGGCAAGGCTTCGTGTCGCAAGCACGAGCTGATGCTGGACGAGCTTCGTGCCGAACATGCCGCCACTCTGGCCACGCTGCAAGACCAGGTCAGCTTATCTCGTACATATAAAAATTAAAAATTATTGACAATTACCTAGAAAGAATACTTTTACACAAAAAAAAATTCTATCTAGCGCCCCCTAGCATAAACACCGCGACATAATAATCATATAGCTCTGTTTCATCACTCTCATTGTCATATTGCTATGGAGTTTGACAGTGAGACGCGATAAATAATGTGATATAATTGTGCGACTTGAGGAGCTCGATGGTGCAAGTGGTTAGCGCGTTCGGCTGCGATCGTTGAAGTTAAGCAACTTTCGTAGTGGTCGGTCATTGGATGGGTGACCAAAAATTTACTGTCTCGAGCTTCTCCGTGCTTCGGAAGGCACGTTAAGCCGTTGGTCCCGGCTGCATCTGCAGTCGTTAACACCCACCAATCCACACTGGGCCCGCGGTGGGTCATGGCCCAATCTCCCTAAAAGGAAGTGCCCCAGCAGTGGGGGCATTAATAGGCTGATGATGATGATGCTCATGCTATAGGGACTGATGTCAGGCAATATTCGAAGCTATGTCTTCCGCTTTCGGTGTGGACGAGTGCGTTATTGCTATAAATCGAGCATTTCAATGCTTAAAATAACAAATACAAATCTCTAGATAGAAAGAGAAAGCGGTAGTACAGCCAATACTTATACAAACTATTGGTCGCACGATCGCTATGTCAGCTTTTCTATACTACCTAAGCTCACACAGTTACATCATCGCACCAGATGTTAAGTTATGAGTCCAGTACCCCTAGCACGAACCGGAGGATATCGAATTCGAATCGTTTGCGAGTCCGAAATGTCATTGTCAAATGTGTACTGATTTTTAGTTCTCGTTATGTACTTTGTGCTGCTGCTGTTCAAGTTTCCATACAAAATTTGACATTGACATTTCGGTTTGCAAACTATTCGAATTCGATAATGGTTCGTGCTAGGGGTACAGTAGCGAAAATGACTGCATAACGCGGTGGAAAAACGTGCACTTAAGCATTAAACTGCTTCATTATTTCATTATCAGCCTATTAATGTCCCCACTGCTGGGGCACAGGCCTTCCCTATGGATGGAATAGGGAGATCGGGCCATGACCCACGCGGACCCAGTGCGGATTGGCGGGTGCTAACGACTGCAGATGCAGCCGGGACCAACGGCTTAACGTGCCTTCCGAAGCACGAAGGAACTCGAGATAGATATTTTTGGTCACCCATCCAATGACCGACCACTGCGAAAGTTACTTAACTTCAACCATCGCAGCCGCACGCGCTAACCACCTGCGCCATCGAGCTCCTCGTTAAACTGCTTAATTTCTTTTAATTTATGAATGAATACGCTAACCGAACACCGATACCTTAAGGCGTCAATTGGAAACGACCGTGAGATGACGCGATGCGATCTCGTCGTAAGATGAAAATAATGTATTAGTACATTTCTGAAGTAATTTGTATGTTTAAAAATCATCGTACATCGAGAACGCATTGTATAATTCAGGGGTATAATCAAATTTGGTAAAGTCCACAAAATTTTAAAAGTGAGATTTAAATTACAACACTTTTAATTCCGTATCTATATTTATCCCGTAGAAAAATTTTATACAAATTCTAGTAATATCGACTGTTATTTCCAATTGAAAATTGACTTTACAAACAAATGTAGCAAAGTCCAAGTGAGTTGAGTTTCAATTTGCATAAAGTCCTGTTCTACCAATAGGAAGTCTCCATTGCCTCCATTTGACTGACAGCTGTCATGGCCGCCTTTGATGAATCCAACCCTGTCCAGAGAGTTGGTAACAAATATAAAAAGTAAATATAGGAAAGTCCTGAACATTTAGTTAGTAAACTTAGTAAAGTCCAAAACTTGGCAACATAACTGTTAAAGTCCATCTTATACTAAAGGGTTTACTCAAAGGTATTGAACTGAATGTGATGAACACTTGTATTTCCATACTGTATTACATTCAGCATATAAATAATGTTTAACATTAGAATAGTTACCTGTAATTATTAAAATAATCGTTTTTATCGTTTACTGAACATTTTGGCAATGTGGACTTTACCAACTTTGATTGTATACCCCTCAATTGTACGATCGTTGCTAACCAGGACGACGGCGTTGACGAACCGGTAGTTGCCACAGACAATACTCCTGCACCGGTTACCCGACACGCATCTTGGGGATCAAAGCTTGGTCAAGTCATCTTCAAAATAAGCGTACAACCCATTAATTCAAATGCTCATAAAGCTGGGTTGGGGAACAAAGTTTCTGAAAACATCCACCAAAATTATGTACACAAAACTTTGTTCCTGAAATATGTTTCTCTACACACGCCGTCTACTGCCGCGGTTGTCGTTCACAATACACTAGACTGCGTTCCAAACCTACGATCCAGGTGCAACACATGTGAATTTTTTATATAAGTTTCATACATTTTATGTCAAAATTCAAACGGCAGAGTGAAAAGTTTGCATTTATAGCGTAAGTTTGAAACGCAGCCCCCGCCAGCGAGTGGTTAAAAAAAATGGCCGAAAAACAATACCCTGCCCCTCGACAGGCGCGGGGTGATTCGTGTACGTGTATTCCATCGGGCTCGGAAAGCAAAAACTTTGTTGATGCAAACAAATATGTGTAGTGAAACAAAGTTTTGTGTAGACGATTTTGTTGAATGTTGATATGTTTTTGTTGATGTAGGGCAAACAAGCGCCGGAGACCCGGCTTAAGACGACCAAATTAAGTTTTGATTTTAGTAAGCATTAAGCGACCATGCTCAACTCTTATTAAGAGCATAATCCATGTTACTAACAGAATATCAACATTCAACACTCGTTACTCAAAGAGCTGAAACTTATTTTATGTTGTAAAATAAATCATTTTCTAAAAGGACATTGGGCAAAAATGTATGGACGCTGCACCCACGTCCGCCACGGCTTAAACTACATTTATTTGAAAGGTATTATAGTCATGATCATATGTGACAAAGCGCATCAAATTCCATCCCGGGGGTCTTTAGTTATTTTTAGTTAAATAAGCAAAAGTTAATACATACCTATAACGAACGAACATTAATAAAATAAGGGAATTAATTTATTTAGTTCGACCCTACATAGAGGGCTCAGGTATTATGGGAGTACTCCACAAGGTGCAAGGGTGCCATCTTGTGTTATTCTGCCGCGTTAAAGTAAATCCAAAAATCCCCGCATGGGTTGGGTTTTTTTTCAAACAGTCTGTTCGTATTAGTAAATTGTCTTCTATGTAAAATGGAGCGACCACAAATCACACAAACTTGTCCACTCTTCGAAGAAAACGTGATTCCAATTCATCCATACTATTTAAAAAAACCGATAATCGTGTTCCAATGTACAGCGTGTTAGATAAAAATCAATCAAGTGACAGGGAGGGAGCACACAATCACAACGAAGTAAGACGAGTGGAGTATTTGCAACTGCAAGTCCTTCAACCCCTGTAAACCGTTTTGAGATGGTTCAGTAAGTGCAAGCGCAGGATGGTCGGCAGGCTTTGTCATATATCTGGTTGTATAGTACGATATTGCATATTATTATGTTTACTAATAATATCAAATGAAGGTACTATAAATTGAATTTATTTAGCTGTTTAAATATGCCCATGTGTCACATATTTTGACAACCACGATATTTTTTACGGTGTCATATCTTTTGACTACCAGGATATTTTTTTCGGTGTCATCATAAAAAAGGCCAGTTTTTCATAGATCTATCGATTCATACTAATTACATTGTTGGCGGAGCTGGGTGCGTTTTGCCCATTGTCCTTTAAACATTTAACCAAACCTTTAATTTTCTTCACACAGATCACTCAACTGAAAGCTCACATCCAGACTTCAGAGAATACAGAGGCCAACGTGTCCCTCTACCAGCAAGACATCGATTTGGAGTTAGAGAAGGTAAGTGTCGCATCACCCTTATTGTGATTGGATTAAAGTTGAAAGTTCCCTAACGCCTTATGTAAATAAACGTAACTATGAACCAAAGGTGTTTCGGGACTCGCCCTTGTGTTTCCTCATTAACAATATACGAGCTATCTGTAGCCATTCGATTATGATATTAAGTGTAAATAAAATAGATACTATAATAGCTTGCATCTAAGCTTTCGGTGTTATATTAATATAGATTTTAACTTAGAAGTGTTTTCATATCGAGATTTGCTGAAGTTACAGTATATCCGACAGTTTTAGGCTCTCCTATGAATTCTTGTGAGACAAATGGCAAATATTTTTTTTGGAATCTGTGTTATTTTTGAAAAAACTAATATGTATTATGTTTGTGGTAAAAGTTTGAACTAATTTTTAATGCATGCAGGGGAAGAGACGACAGGCCCATTAGTGATGTAAGCTTCGGTGGTTGTGCTTATCATTATTTATCCCCCTTTTAATCACGTTACATACGAAAATAGTTTGTTTGTCTTTTTCACAGAATCATAGATCTTTGATAAATGTACATTTACGGAAGGGTGGTAATAATATAGGTAATATATTAAATTGGCCGCATTATAAAATATTTTTACCATAATAATCTTGAGGTCTTCCATTCCTAGCGAGCCAGTTCGAGTCGTCGGTCCCGGCTGCATCTGCAGCCGTTAGCACTCAACAATCCGCACTGGTTTATGACCTGTACCCTTAGCACGAACCAAAATCGAATTCGTAACGTTTGCGAGTCCGAAATGTCATTGTCAAATGTGTACTGATTTTTAGTTCTCGTTACGTACTTTGTGCCGCTGCTGTTCAAGTTTCCATACAAAATTTGACATTGACATTTCGGTTTGCAAACTATTCGAATTCGATAATGGTTCGTGCTATGGGTACTGTTCTTCCAATTCTGTCCATAGGGTAGGCCTCTGCCATGTCGGTAGTGACATTGATTGGCTGATGATGAGTCAATGTATAATAATAATTAACAAGATATTCAGATAATGGTGTCAATTCTGCTATGATTCTCTAAACCTAAACTTAAATTTGACAAAAGTGTGTCCTTGTCATTCTCTATACAGAATGAAAAAGAGGGACTGATCTTAAATTTAGTTTTAAGTTTAAAGAATCATGCCAGAATCGACACCAATTCATATGAATAATAAAGATTGTTAGAAAATAGTTTTGTATTTTTCCATACCAAATTATATAATTTGCCTATTGCATACAAGGCAATAAAAAAAACCTTTTCGCAAATGTACATATTCGTAGTAATCTTCTAAAGCACTTTATGCAAAAAGAAATAAATCACCCAAATGGGAACACTCATCAATCAATCATCAATTTTTAAAAATATGCAATAATATCGTTATCGTATTTAATAATCCACTAAATTAAACGCAGAATACTATAATGAATCGCCATCACATCGACTTCTGTATTGTAACATAATGTAAATATTGTATACTACATGTAAACTACATTAAAGCAAAATCACCGTATCCTCCGGGTTTCAGTGGGCAATCTTGTTATTATTTCCAAGCACAATTCACTGTAATATACCTACTTATAATTAAAAAAGGGCGGGCGTATGATCTTGCGTCTCTGTCTAATGCTGTGGTTTCTCTCCTGCATGCCGGAATGCACTAACCGTGTGAATTAACGCCGCCGTAGGACGCGCGCCATCAGAACAAACTGGACCAGGTGCGACAGGAGGTGATCCAGCAACTGCAAGAACAAATACAGGTGGGTGACCTTTTGTATATACAGGCAGTCCTCGTACTTACGGCATGTTAGGTTCTCGAAATAGGCGACGTAAATCGAAACGACGTAAGTCGAGACATCCCCACAGACGCCAGCCCCACGGACATTGACCTTGCGACAAGTGAATTCTCCTATGCCGGAAATCGAAATAATTGACGTATGCTTGAGGAATAGTGTCAAAGGGTACGGCCAGAGTGCACTCAGATTCAGATTCAGATTGCGAAAACAAGCGCGAGAAATAAACAGTGTAGTCGAAGGGTACGGCCAGAGTGCACTCCTGATTCAGATTCAGATTCAGACTCAGAAAACAAAGCGCGAGAAAAAGCAGGCAACCTGCTTAGACTACACTGTTTTCAGAATCTGAATCTGAATCTGAGTGCACTCTGGCCGCACCCAAAACGGTCTAGTACCCATTGGACCCTCAAGATTCGACCCAAACGCAAAAAGTGCCCATTGGACCTCTTTTTTGGTGTCCATTGGACCTTCTTAAAACATTTTATATTCAATGCGCCCATTGGACCTCTTTTTTGGTGCCCATTGGACCTCCTTAAAATTTTATATTCAATGTGCCCATTGGACCTCTTTTTAAGTGCCCATTCAAGATTATACCCTACTGCCAGTTGAACCTTATTAACAGTTTTGTTAAGCACAGTACAGTCATGTAGAAAATTGTAGACAAAAATAAACTTAATAGTAGGTATTATAAAGCCACTAACTAAATACTGTATAAGTACTGACTCCAAACAGTAAGTAGTCCTAAACAAATTATAAAGAAATCAGGTTACCTGTTTTCTTCGAATTAACGATATTTCGCCGTCCCCGGAGAATAAAAAGATAACTATAAGTATAAAAATGTAAGTTTTCAGGAAAAATAAAAATAATTGTTTTTGTCTATTACTCTATAAATACTGGACGCAGACAGATGATTAAGACCTTTAAGAAAAGCTTATTTTTAACACATTTGGATTTTTTAGTAAGGTACTCTTACAATAAGATATAAGAGAGATATTTAGAAAATAAAAAGTGAATCAAAAGTAATCAAAATTTAATTTGTTTAATGTTTATTTTTAATTTATTCGTATTGATAAGGAGCCAAAACCAAATATTGCACTACTGACATGTATTTTTATTCTATGGTTTATAAGGGTGCAAGTGACAATGATAATACTTCAATATCTTTTTATTTTTGTAAATATTGTAAACCTTTTTTTCTTTAAAGGACATTATATATGTTTGTGCTTTAGGTTAAAAGGAATGATCATTAATTATATTAATTTTAAATTTAATTACATTAATGATCATTAATGTACAAAGGTTTCACTCAATAGGGCGATCGTACACTGACCAATAAATACCCTTACAGTGCAACACCAAATCCACAAGACCTTTCAAATCGAATAAAGTTCGATTGATTCAAAGTTCCTTAAAACAGCTTGGATCTAGACAATCTAAGCAACATGACGGTGGATTTTGCAAAGACAACATCTTTTGATCTAAGACTGAAATTCTGAGGGAGATTGAATGTTTTTATCGGCAGTTATACTCCTCTTAAGCACCTGATGAAAGGAAGGTTATAGATTCCAAGCCCAAGCAATCTCTGCGCTTAAACAAAAGGATGGCGCCGATCTCATATGTGGGAGAGAGAGAGAGAGAAATATTGCTGTCTCGTTCCGATTTATGACCTATGTTGCAGCTAGAAAATAATCTTACAACCGTAGGCCATTGCTTAGAAAAATTACTCACATATGTGTCTTAAATATTTAATTAGGTAATTTATAATGTTTTACAAAAGAAGACTGTTAAATTTTTTTATGGTGGTTGGTAGTGGGTCTTTCGGCAGACTTCAAGTTTTTATGAGACGCAGCGCACTTAATTGTGAATCGTTGGACAAAAAACTAGAATTTTATTTTATCCTGGTTTTTTATATTAAAATAACATAAATCTATCTAATAATTGATTTGCAAATGGCAAGTTTATTTGTCTATTTTTTGTTGCCAAGCATCAAATATATTATGTTCAATGTGTTGCAAAAGCAGTGATAATAATTCTGATAATAATCCATGACTGGACTGATTGACATTTGCCATAGTGATTGAGTTGACGTTATAAGCCACCACGCACTAAAAATATGACGTTACTAAGATAGGGTGGACAGCATACTTACAGAATTGTTTAATTATTAAACACGATTTTAAATTAATCGGTAATGAATAAAAAAATCAAAGTATCTATTCGTGTTATACAAACTTTCAAATTATATATATTTCGTTCCTGCCGGAAACCGACTACCGCTTTTGAACCATATCCTTTAGTTAAAGTATGTTTTTATATAATCAATTTCTCGTTAATTTTGAAAATATGATTAGAAAACATTTTTTTATAAAATGTAATATGATGATACATTGGTATTTTATTTTATGAATATTTAGAATACATAATAATTGTGCTTCAATAGTTAATCTGAGTGATATAAAAACTGTATGTATAATTTAGTTAAGATATCTGATAAAAAACATTTAAAAGTAAAATAACAAAATCTATGATTTGATTATTATATTATATAGTTTGTTGCTGATGATTGATGTATCGAATATGTTGATTTTAAATACTTACATTTATAAACTTTGTGCTTTTATTTATTTTATCAACATTTAGAATATATAATAATTGTGCTTAATCTGTGTGATATAACAAACCATATTTATAATTTAGTTAAGCTATTTGATAAAAAATAATTTCTATTGGCTTTAAAAGTAAAGTAAAAAATCTGTGATTTGATTATTATATTTTATGTAAATATTTATATTGGTTTGTTGCTGATGATTTTATAAATATGTTGATTAAATACTTAGATTTATAACCTTTGTGTTTTTATGTCTTTTACAATGTTACTTTACTACACGACTGTACTTTACCGTTCCAAAAGAATTAGCCAAATAGTTAAGAGCTGCAATAGCTCCCATTGTGTCGTTAAGTACGTCTTTGAGGGTCCAATGGGCACCATGTTCTTGATAGGAGGTCGAACGGGCACTTTTTTGTAGGTAAGGTCCAATTAGGATGGTCCAATGGGTACTAGACCCCCAAAACATTGTTCGACATAACTTGAAACGACGTAAATCGAAACGACGTAAGTCGAGGACTGCCTGTACTTTAAAACATTTTAAACCTTATTACTGAGGAATAAAATTCACGTTATCGTTGTTGCACAGTAGGACACGTCACGAAAATCTTGTATTGCACTGTCGCGTTAAAGCGTGCTGTATGTGTCGTTATTGTTTCATAGCGTTGTTCTGTCTTACACCAGTTCTTCTCCACAATTAAAGGTCAATTCGTTACCGGTAATTTTTAGAAAAAAAAAATATTACCTTTTTAATTTAAAAGGATTAAATTGAAGCAAGGTTTCCAATCATTACAACCATAATAATCAAAATCATTTGTTCAGTTTAGGCTGTTACAAGCACTCATGAATGTCTAGAAGCTATGCAATCGGTTCGTAAATCTACGGCGGGAGACCTTGTACTGAGAAGAACCGGCAAGTAACTTAGCAAGGGCTGTTTTTTGCTCCCTGTTTTATTATTTACAGAGTCAACCTGGGAGATCTCTTTTAGAACCAAAATACTTATAATAATTTCATAAAACATCTACCTACAAATGCATCGCATTCCTTATACTATTCGAGTTACTATACGTCATGACTGGATTCGGGAGTCCCTCTAAAGTTTAGGAAGACTGATACACTTCTTCAAACACCAAATACCCTAATGGATAACCTTTATGGCCATGACTTTGACGACACACTTGATTCTTCACCAACGACAAGGTTAGTCATTTCTAAAACGAAAACAAAGCTTCCTCAAAGAAATCATACACTCAAACGAGAGTATCTATTTTTGTAAATATCCCATCAATCATGAGGTGACCCAGTTTCCGCGCCTAAATTTCATTATGATTTGCTGTAGTAAACTAAAAAAAATGTTGCCGCCACAAGTACTCGTATACAACTTTTTAAGCGCCCACACAATATCCCTAGACCATTGGCCAGTAGCCAGGAGAGAAGTACTCCATTATACACCAGCTCTAAGTCTCAATGGTGGAAGAAATAGAACAAGGTCCGCGTAGTCACCATCGCGATGTGCAGGAGAAAGCTCTTCTTCATATCCCGAGTTGATCACAGCATGTGACTACAATTTTTGTTTGTGATTTAACAGTGCTGTTTTGTGCCATTGTGACGTTACAGACGGAAGAGTTTACAGTGGTATTTTTAAGTGTAATAATTGTGACAATGTTAAGTTAAGGAATGCCGGATCGTAATCATTTGCCGTTTTCCAAGAGACGTGTAAGTGAAGTTTTTTTTTATCATATTAAATATGAGTTTAAGTTTGAAGAAATCGTTATTGATGACTAGATGACCCAGCGATCTTCGTACGGCTAACAATAATTTGGAAGAAATGATAAACGACGTACGTCAAATGTTGGCAGGACTATAGATAAAACAGTTTGTATGTAAAAATTAAATTGTATTTTTACTGTCTTCCATGCAATTTTTCCATATTTTCTCACCGTTTAAACCTTCCCTGGACTACGACAAACATTTTAAGACCAAAATCAGCTAAATCGGCCCAGCCGTTCTCGAGTTTTAGCGAGACTAACGAACAGCAATTGATTTTTATATAGATACTAGCTGACCCAGCGAACTTCGTACCGCCCTAAAAAAATAGGGGTTGTCCAGCGGACAAAATTGTGAATCTAAACCATTCTCAGATCCCCTTGAACACACACAAAATATTTCATCAAAATCGGTCCAGTCGTTTATGAGAAGTTCAGTGACATACACACTCACAGTAGAATTAAATATATAAAGATTTAGATGATAATAAATATGTATTTTATGCTACTTCTAAATTGTCGAGTGGAATTTTAATTTGCATAAATTCGTTCCAATCAACTTTGTAAACTAACAGTTTATTAGGCTTTAAAATATT